GATCACCGTTGCCCCGTTACATGAAGATCGCAATACTGCAGCCAAAGAAGCGAGTTGGCCGGGAATCACCCTCGCGTATTGAAGCCAGACGCGGGAGCTCTCTCAACACACGTCTGGTCTGCTTGGCAGTCAGGCTCTACCCCCCTTATTAACTCTTTTACTCTGTTTCACTTACAATTGGATCTATGATATCAGGACATCACAAGAGTAGTTTTGTTCTTTTTGTTTGTTTATTGTTCTATTTTCTTTGGACTTCATCAAAGCTGTTATAAGAAGCTGTTTCTAGATGAACTTCTAGTCTAGTCCACTGGAGAACCTTCTTTCAAACAGAATGCAGACAATTGTAAGAAATATCTACTGTACAAAACTCCTGTAAAATGTTTAAGAAATATGCAGGAATCAACACATCATCTCTAAGTTGGTTCCAGTAAAAGAACCTTAAATCTTTAGGGTGAAATGTGGCTAAATGGCATGCAGTATATAAATGTTTGGGCAAAAAAATGTGTTGGTAAGCCCAAGGTCCCTAAGGGATGTTTCCACACATTGAAGGCAGGTAAAGGTTTTAAGATAGACATGCCATCCACTGGATGTAAGTACCCATAATAAAATTAGAGTTTAGGTTTTAATTGACATGTTTAATGCAGATCGCAGTATAGATTTGTTTGAAGCCAGTATACAGAAATGTCTGCTATTCTCTGGTACTGTAAGAGTATCTCTATTGCTGTTTAGCTGATAAATTCTTTTTAGTATTACAATGTTTTTCCTCCCTTTTAATAGCAATGTATATTATTTCAACAGGGGCTTGTAACTCATGGCACACGATATGGATTAATAGAACCTCCAAAGCACTATAAACCCCTTCACAGTACGATCCGACTGTCAAAGGTCACCACGATCGATTTCTCGCCATTCGAAGTGCCTGCATTTCTGGTAAGACATGGCAACTGATTTATGACGATCCTATGTAAGATCCCTGTGACATGTATTTAATGTGACGCATGTTTGGACCACTCACTGGAGAACAATTCTGGATATTCTCATTTTATGTTCCTATAAACCCCCATCATTTATTTATTTATGTAGTTCTTTAAAAGAGACAGATAAATAACATATTTATTTATAGTGTGCTGCAGAAGAAAGAAATGTTAGACACATTTATACAGGGGAGGAGTAAAGGCGCATGCTACACAAACCTTGCTATAGCTCTATCAAAGCTACATAAATCTCTGTAAGGTAAAAAATAATTGCATCACATAGAATGCCCAATTTTAAAATAGTACCCAGTTATGGCCGCTCATAATGTAATCTTGTTATTTCCAGAGAAGTGACCGTTCATATTTAAAAGCACTTTCCTTTGACCAATATAAAAGCAATCAACAATGCATTCTCCCATAATTGCCATAATATGCTACAGCAGTGGGTCTTAAACTTTTTTGTCAGGGACCCAAATTACATGCACTGTACTAATTTAGTAACCCATTAATCAATAGGAAAATTAGCTCAGTCACCCATTCTTCATTGATTATGTAATATATCATTTAATGAGAAAAGTACTTTCGTAAGACTCTTCCACAGTACAATAGAGAACTTCTTACACTGAGAAGACAGTGCTGCTACAATAACCAGTTTATTGTGGGCAGTTACCTGGTGGCATGATGAATATGATGTGCTCTTTCCATCCTTTGGGGAAACCTTAAATAGCATGGGGACTTAATTTTTAGTTCTGATTCAAGGGTTAAGAACCACTATGTCATTGTAAATGTATGTCTTATTATATACCTACAATCAAGAGCCCACAGTCTTTTCAGTCTGAGCTGGTGTGGCAAAGTGTACTGTAGTGGTTATGGTGCTTAGTGTATCCCTCTAAGAGGAGCCATAACATTTTGTGTTGATGTTTTACAGTGCATTTATCCTAGTTGACTTTATTGATGAATATGCTTTTGTTAAATAGCATTGAGTGTATACAAACTCAACTTACATCTGCCAACTAAACCATGAAGTTTCATTTTTATATTCTTCTGAGGTCAATATAATGAGACATGTCAAGTTGGAATATATTTATCTATGTATCTGTGCTTTGGGCCCCCTTGCTATATAAAAATACATTTAAAAAAAATATATACATATATATTTTTTTTTTTTTCATGATTCCGTCTGTTGTGTCAAATTAGCTGTCTGTAAATGTATAGTGTAGATACATTATGTATAATAAATAACAAAGAGCAGTAACTATTGCTTGGGTTATGTATATTTTCTGCGTTCTATTATACACATATAAGAAATGTAACGAAGATATTTTTTTGGCTATGCTTTTTTAAGGCTGGATGTTCAGACGGGTGCATACGATTACATACGACGAGCGTGCAGTTTCCAGTTATGCAGTGGAATGAGAGCACCAATGGACAGTCGGTTACAGCTCTACGTTGGTCACTGACACGACCAAATGTTTTCTTTGTTTTGGATGCTACAGGCTGCATTTACATTTGGGATTTGTTACAGAATGATTTGCAACCAATAGCCAAAGAATCCACGTTGTCTGATCAGTAAGTATAGAGATGATTATTGTCTGAATATTCTCAAAATTCTTTGTCATCGGTTGCCTGTATATGTCATGAAAAGGCAACCACTAAACCAAAAATTGTATTTTAAATGGATTACTGACAAAATCATTATAACCAGGGCTTTGTAAACCAGTGTTTATTTTTATCTTTACACGGCTTAATTGATCAACTGATGTCACAGCTACTTTAAGAGCAGCCTGGTAGTAACCTTTAAACCTTTCTAATTGCAGAGTTTGATCAGGGGCCAATAGAATTCTGCCAGATAGCATGATTTCCCTCTGTACACATTACATGTGTGTTTGTGCCTCTTTCTTGCTGTCTGTGGGTTACAGATAGGAAAAACTTTCTGTACTTCTCTCTGGAATGGAATGAAGAGACACTCAATTTGACAGCTGTGAATGTGTCTTGTAAATGGCAGTCTCCCACATCTGTAAAAAGAATCTCAGTACAATCCATTAATACTTTGGTTTTATAGATTTATTGTCTAAAAATGACTTGCATGATAGCTCCCTGTCAACCCATTGTTATAAACTTTGCACCTCGCAGTCAGCTTTTAGAAAGCAAACAGTAGAACAAATTGCATCTCGTGGGACAAAAAACAGGTTTTCACAAATTGTAGGTGATTTTCAATGTTTTTGTTAATGGTAAAAATTGAAGACGTTAAATTTTGGAAGGTCTTCCCATCCTGCATCGTCACCCACAGTGTGGCCATGCCGAATACTGCTCATACTTCTCTTTGAGAAGCACTGGATTCAGGCCTTCTCTATGAAAAGCACCAGATTGTTGCTATTGCAAGCATGCACCATGGGTCTGCAATACTCACTGTGCTTGCATCGGGCTGCAGAGAACAGACTGTTTTGGTGCTGCATAATTGTTGTTTTTATTTTAATTTTTTTCAGGGGGTGGGCAGTAATCTTCACTTAAAAACAAGTCTGCTATTGTTAAAATTAAAAATATTTATTTGTAGCATAAGAATGTTCCTTTAAACATTGCACAAATTAAGTGTGTATTCAGATTGTGGAAAAGCAGATCTTATAATGTATTTTTTTTTTTGTTTTCCTTCCCAATCCTGCAGAGTTCTAAGCATGGCCATTTTTGGTGAACCAGAAAAGGATAATGGTCTGATGGGTCTAGCACTGGCAAGATCCTCTGGGAAAGTGGAAATCCAGTATATCAAGAAGAAATGGGCAAAACCCCAGCCTAAGGATAAGGACCGATTCTCTCTGTTGTTACTTTAGAACATTTTTGTTACCTGTTTTATATTTGTTTATAACAACTACAGTTTGTATGATAAAACTAAATAAATTATTACATATTCTCATATATATATTTTTTTAATCAACATCTTTATTTGTATTCAGAGCTTTATAATAGGTGTAGAAACTGGTGCTTACAAAGCTACCATCAAATGCTTTGCATCAGAAAGATATGAAGTTATATTTTTATATCTGTGGCATTTTGTGCCTGTATAATATAATATAACTTTAACTGAATGGAGAAAATAAAAATTTGTGCAAGGCAAGTGCTCTGAGCAATTGCTGCCTCTTTTGTTTGGCTCCACTGAGCTAACCAAACCAGGAAGTAACAAGGCCTGTTGTCTGATTGACAGCCAGGGGGGTGTAACCAGGAAACCACTTACTCTGGTTTCTATTACATTAAATAAATGACTGTTGAGTTCATCTCAACCCCACAGGTCTCCTTTAACAATTTTACTGGTGAACCCAATGAGTTCAATTGCAGTTGTCGCTGAATGTACTAAATTGATTGCCCCCACTAGCTATTGTCGGATCAGGTTTTGATGAATCTATAATATATTGATGTCAGTGGCATTTTTGTGTTGTGTATATACATTTTTTTTGTAGAAATTTATACTTTTTTTCTGGCACTTTATGGACTTTTTTATATATATATATATATATATATATATATATATATATATATATATATATAGTTCAAGTGGTGTGTAAATAAAATATTACAATTAAAAGTAAAATGTGTGTATTTTTGTGATATTACAGTGTTAAAAGTACCCATTAAATAAGTAGGTTATCACAAAATCTTGTTTAAAAACTGATTTCGTAAAGTATAATTTATCATTAGGTTTTCGGGCTGAGTTAGAACAAGTTTATCAGGATACCAGCAATATTGCAGCCTGAATCTGAGGAGCTCCAGCCATGTGCAACCTGCTCGGTTGTCTGTCAGACCCCGCCCCCAATGAAGAACCTTGTGTCCAAAAGAATGCAGACAATATCAAGGAAAAACTATCTGTACACAATACCTTTTATAATGCTTGAGAACTATGCACCACGTGTTTCCTTTATAATACTGTACACAATGTTCTAATTTGTATAACTTTATTAAATAATTTTAACATAAATGTTAATAAAACAAGAGGACACATGTTAAATTCAAACTCTTCCTTTAATACGTACATCATCCAAAAACCTATATATACATTATGTTCATATGCTAAAAATATCTACAAAAATTGATAAATGTTTAAATAAGCAAATGCCAAGGGGGATGGGGGGGTGAATACTTTTGCAAGGCACTGTATATGCAGTATTTGTATAATAAAGCCTAAGCGTCCCTTTTAATAGAGTTACCAATACCTCCTTGCAGCTGTAAGACAAATGAAAAGTATAGATTTAGCAAAAAAATCACAAAAAAAGGTATACCTTACAATCAATATTTAGACTACCTTGAGGATAAAATGATCATCTGCTCCTCTATAATTGGTTTGCTTAGCTACAAAAGGAAACTTGTTTTCTTCTTTAAACTGTGAATAACCAGGATGCAAACTCCAATGTGCAAGTGACCGGAATCTAAAAAATGAACTTTGGATCCATTTCAGAACTTCCAATTGTATATGGTCAGAAAGGTAATGCTTCCGATCCATGAGCGCTAAAGATGGCTGTTCCAAAGTGGGACACTAAAAGAGCTCACCTATATAGTCATTACTTAATAATGCACAGCAAGGTTATATTAAATGTAATGTTTTGGTTTCAGTTACAGAAAAAATGATTGAATGGAAAACTCCAGAGGTTCTTATGATGATTCAACTAATTAAAGCCAGTACGCGGTGTTTGATGTATATCTAATCAAAGTTTGGTTCCTTGCACCACCAATGTCCTCATTACAAGGTGGTAAAATGAAAAACATTGAAGTGGTACACTTACATAAACAAGAGAAAATCTCACTGTATATTTCTTGTAATTGTTATTTTGAAAATTAATTTACATATATGGTATAATGTTCGAAATCGGGGCCCGCTGTGGGTTTTAGTGGAATGACCTCCTGCAAGTTAAAGGGGCCCATCTGGTTGCCCATGCACTTAGAGCCACCTAAAGGCAATCTGGTCTGTGTGAAGCTGCGGTGCTGGAAGGAAGTAAGTACCAAGTCCCTTTCTCCCAGCTTACCAAAAAGAAAGCGCAGAAGAGTGATAAAAGGGGGGGGATCGGAAAAGAGGTAGAGCCTGCAGTCTTGGACCGACTCCCATCAGACTTCTCCAGATGGCACTAGACCATGGGAAGCCACCCCCTGCACCAAAAAGGTATGGAAGAAGGGGGTGGCTCAAAATCAGGGCCGGACTGGGGATACAAAGCAGCCCTGGGAACAAAATCTATGCCAGCCCCATAAGTCATTGCGCCATATATTGTTGCATGTAATATGTAAGGCTATGTCTTGTCACCCCAGATGATTGAGTAATATATATATATATATATATCTTTATCTTTTTTTAATATAAAATATTGGTCCATTCAGACTAAAATGTTTAATTATACAGTTAGCATACTCACATGCAGACACAGACAATCTCACCGACACAAGCTCATTGATACACAGCCTCAAAGACAAACAATCTCACTGAAATAAATAAGGTCATTGACATAAATGCACAAGCTTACTCAGTAGCAGACACACACACACATGCAAGCAAGCCCACTCACTAGCAGGCGCGCACACACACACAGCTTAATGTAGTGGTTCTGGTGTCTATAGCCTGTCCCTGCAGGCTTTTCAATGTAAACACTGACTTTTCAGAGAAAAGGCAGTGTTTACATTGCTTCCTAGTGGCAGACACTGAGACGGTCGCTAGAGGTTCTTCCTGTGTCAGTGCAGATTGGCTGAGATTATCAAGCTTGATGATCTCAGCCATAGAGGCAGGGCCAGTCGAGGGGAGACCACTATTTTTAAAACACACACACACCGTGACACAGACAGAAACACAGACACACCATGACACAGACGGACACACACACACACCATGACAGAGACACACACATACCATGATACACACCATGACACAGACAGACCATGACACAGACACACATTACATGACACAGGCAGACACACACACTCCATGACACAGACAGACAGACACACACACACACACCATGACAGGCACACACACACTGGACACAGACACACCATGACACAAACAGACACACACACACCATGACAGAGACACGCACACACCATGACAGGCACACACCTTGACACACACACACCTTGACACACACCATGACACAGACAGACCGCAACACAGACAGACTCACATTACATGACACAGCAAATACACACACACCATGACACAGACATACACTCACACTGACACACATAATTGCTACCTGTGTGATGGCGGCCGCAGGGGGAGCTGGCTCTTCTGGCGGCTGCAGGGGGGAGCTCAGTATGATGGTGGCCGCTGGGGAAGTTGGCTCTTCTGGTGGCCGCAGGGGGGAGCTCAGTATGGTGGCGGCTGCTGGGAGAGCTGGCTCCTCTGGCGGCCGCAGGGGGGAGCTCAGTAGGATGGCGGCCGCTGGGGGGAGCTGGCTCTTCTGGCGGCTGCTGGGGGAGCTGGCTGTTCTGACTCTGCTCCCCAGCGTGGAGCTTAATGAGACTGGGGCCGGAATATGACATAATTTTCCGGCCCCGTTTTTATTAAGTAGCGCTCGAGGGGAGGGGGAGCAGAGTCAGAACAGCCAGCTCCCCCCCAGCGGCCGCCAGAAGAGCCAGCTCCAACTGCCTGCGCGGCCCCCAGGTGCCAACGGCCCACTGGGAAATATCCCGGTGGGCCAGTCCGGCCCTGCTCAAAATCTGTAAATTTTGATCTATGTGCATATGTGTGTATATGTTTTTTCTGTGGATTAGTGTAATGTGTGGGAGAGTGTACGTGCATACATCCCTACTCTACATAGAAACACATTCTAACACAAACACTACACACAAGTACACCACTGCTTTCAAATATAAACCGTACATACAAATGTACAACTGCATTCAAATGTCAACGCTACACAAATACATACATTCAAACAAACTTCAATTTTTCAGTAGTTAATTTTTTCTATTGCAATAATAAGCATTCATAAAAATGTTATGCTCTTTATTAACAAATGCTATGAGGTATGAGGTATGAGGACAAATCTTGCTTTTTTTTTTAATCCAACCCTCGGATTATCTATGGTTGGACAGCCCTGTTCTGAATAAAAAAAGTCATACTATTGTTTGATGACCAGACTGCGGGCACACTAGTGATCTTTTTCACAATTCTAATGAGGAGCAGAAAGATGAGGCTGACCAGCTATTGAGCCACAAAATGCTCCAAAGCTGCTCTCGCATGGGAGCAATGCCCAACCTTGTCATTTTGTTGAACATTCTTTGATATTGTAAATGTCTGTGTTTTTATTTAATTTATTATCATATAATGGCACAAGGACACTTTTAAATAGGACCACCACAGGTGTTAATTATGCACTTCTTTCCCTCGCCACCCTTTTTCTTTTCTTCTGCATCCCAACTGCAATAAAACTTGTCAAAGTCAAAAAATAACACCAGGGACCTGCAAGCCCAAATGCTAATTGATCGCATTATTTAAAATCAATCTTCACAATTTCTAAAAAGATTATCACCCATGTTGTACAAGCCATAACTAATACGACAAGGGACCTGCGAGTCCATCCACAATCTGGGCTTGATATGATTCGCATTATCTAAAACACTTCTTTCCCTCGCCACCCTTTTTCTTTTCTTCTGCATCCCAACTGCAATAAAACTTGTCAAAGTCAAAAAATAACACCAGGGACCTGCAAGCCCAAATGCTAATTGATCGCATTATTTAAAATCAATCTTCACAATTTCTAAAAAGATTATCACCCATGTTGTACAAGCCATAACTAATACGACAAGGGACCTGCGAGTCCATCCACAATCTGGGCTTGATATGATTCGCATTATCTAAAACACATCTTCGCATTTTCCATGATTGATATTCGCACATGTTGTGCATTTGTTATTGTATTCCATATGCCAATAGATACCTGCGAGTATCACTGTTCCCTATTTCCTTTATCTGCAAAACAAATAAAAAATCATATTTACAAAAATTATGCACTTCTTTCCGTAATAAAGCCCCCACCTTTGACAAAACGGTCAATGAGAGTGTCAGAGAGAGAAATAAGAACACGAATGACAAACAAAATCATTAGCAGTTTTTAACAATTTAACTAAATTGATTTTACTAAGATAACATTTGTGTCGAATAAAAATTAACCCATCACATCCAAACATGGAACCCAAAGCGGTAAGAATAACTACGATATTTGTATCTTCCACAAATGTACACATACGCACTATATAACAATATCTGTTGTTCTTTGCTACTAGAGAGGTTTATATACTCCATGATTTTCGACCAACCAAAAGTTTTTGTTTGACAAAGTGAGCTTGTTTATCTTTTTAGTTCTGTTTAGTTAACATACCAATGTTAGCAGTTTTAATTCCAAACAGCAGATGGCAGTTTAATCACATATATCTACACAATGTAATGTACTATAGTATATTAAATTGTTAACACTCAATAATCTTAACTACTTAACTTTTACATGATATATAGGACATCTTTGGACATAGATCACCAAGTATTATTCGACACTAAGGAATAACCATGATCCAACCAGCCACCTGTTTTGCATTTAGTTTTCATTACGTTGCTCTGAATTCTAACAAAATCCAAATTAGAAAACGAATGGTGTGTCAGAATGCCAGAATATGTCCGGGATACATACATTTTAGATGATCTCTTAGGCTATAGTGAAATATGCATGAACTTTGATTGAATTACTGCAATATTATGCTAGTTTTGTAATGCTTCCAAATCACTCATCTCCATCAGTTATCTGAGTTTGTCTCCAGGGCAATAATCAGTTTCTGCAAATTCAAGGACATCTTCTGGATTTGATATAATAATTAATTCAGTTTAATATCAGAGTTGAGGGAAAAATGCTTTATTCCCAGCTACTATATACAATATGTCACACTTTAATGTTTATGGGTTAAGTGATGTTCTTTGACTTCCATGTATCGGTTTATTTGCTGATCTGAATTAAGAAGCCCAGAATAGGAAGCGCAGCATATATTAAAACATTGTCTGATAGTGAAAAGTTCACTTTTTTTTATTGAAATAGGAAATGTAAAGTACCAAATACAGGGTAACTAACAAACATATGAGTTTTCAACAATGGATGGATTTTATATTATAGGTCCAAACAGGCGAATGTGGCTCAAGACTTGGCTCATTTTTCCAATTTGGCTATAATGGTTTAAAATTTGAATTCCAGTTTGAATCCACCCTGAAATCTCTATGAAACAATTCAATAAAACAAACCTAGAGCAAAATAAAGTTAAAGTTTAGTAAAAAACACAAAAAGGAATATACAAGGCAGTGCAAATGGTTGATTTAACGAAATAACTGAATAAGGAGTTGTAATTACAATACAGACATAATACAAGGAGACGTACTATAATTGCATAATTAGCTGTTATATGGATGTACAAGTCCCAGGTACACTTCCCATCGAGGCAAACTTTGTGAAATGTTGTGTACAGATTTTATGAGACATGCTCTTGCATGACATGTAGGCATGGTTTTTCTTTGATAAGATCTTCCTGATTTACACCTAAGCATGGATGGCATTTAAAATGAAGTTTGTAATGGAGTATGTTAGTTGGGAATGTGCTATAAGAGAAAGTGGCGTTGGAGAGTGTCATACTATTTAACAAAAATCTTTCTCCTAGATTGGATGTAACAAGGGACGGGCTCATGTGACATGCTAGTCATTAGGCTTTTAGGAAACCAAAAATAAGGACGACAAAAGAGGAGACCAATGCGTTACATACGAAAAAATGCAAGCTCTAAAAAATATATCCTTTACTCAGTGTATTAACACCTTAAGGACGAAGGCAATTGTACATGCTCTTATCAAAACCAAATCATAACAAAACCTGGAATTTGACTGTAGGTCTGTTCAACCACAATTCACCTCTTTCATTTGAAGTGCACCTATGCTAATTACATATCATTTTGTTCAGGAGAAACAGGGCTTTCATTTCACATCAAATATTCATATATGGTATATAATGTATGATGAATAAAATAAAATATAAAAAACATAGATAAATTATGAAATTGTGTTTTGTTTTTTTATTAGTTCTGCATGGCATTTTAACTGCGAATGTCCAGGGAGTCCCTTAAACTGCCCGGTTGTGATGAAACGCAATCGTTGGCACTGCAACAGAATTATATTCCTGTGTGCGTCAATCCAGACATGAGGTTTTGATTGACCTGAGAATTCAATTTATCATTAGGATGAAAGTTAACACTGTTTAATCAGATTTTTCATGCACTAGGGCAGGGAAAGGCAACCTTCGGCACTCCAGATGTTGTGGACTACCTCCTCCATAATGCTCTTACACCCATAATGCTGGCAAAGCATCATGGGAGGTGTAGTCCTAAACATCTGGCGTTCCGAAGGTTGCCTATGCCTGCACTAGGGTCTTGAATTATGCTTTTCCATTTTCTCTTGTCAAATACCCGTATAGATGGATGGGTAGTATTAACAAGCATCGCCCTTACTTTAGCCTTAGGATTTCGGGTGGTAGGGGAGTGGGGCATAGGAGGGGTGTCCTTGAAAGTGCTATACAGTTTAGGATTAGATGATATAATTTCTAGTCTTACCATTTCAGTCAGTTGTAGTTTCCCCTCTATATCTCTCACTGTCCCTCACCTACCTGCTCTGGGATTACGTGTATCCTTTCTAGTTCTGGTATTCACATTGTTTCCAAGCTCTTTCTGATAGTTTGTGTCCACTGATCCATTGGATAGACTACCATTTGGGCAGATCCCTGATGTTTGTTTGACATTCTTTATTTACACTGTATTCATTATTATATCGGTGATTATCAGCAGATCAATATATTTCTAGGAGGAGGCATACTTCAGAAGTTTCCACATTCAACCTATTGCTGCCAGGGATTTATTTAACTGGTTCCATACTGAGATTTATCCGTAGGCTAGGACTAGTAGATGTAGGCATTTACTCGATACATTGTTTTTATTGGTTTCTGGTTTTTGATACAAGTCTAGAATTGATTTTTTAAGATGATGAAATAAAAGTTACGTTTTAGATAGTTTCGAAACTGGTTTTCTTCTCTCTGTATATTATATGTATTGTTGCATTTAGTATTCAGTTACATCTGTTGAAGAGTCTGTACATGCCCTAAAAACAACTAAATACAATTTATTTTAGTACAGGGTTATTCGCTAAACACCAATCCGCAGTGAGTTGAAATTTAAATGGCAACATTTAGACTAAAATTGCCAAGATATAAATATAAATCATTTTAGGAATTTTTCCAAATCAGTTATATTTTGCAATCTGGTTTTCAGTTTGTAGTTTAGTAAATAAAACCCATCTAGGCTTATTCAATAACGTGGGAATTTTCATCCAAAACACATGTAAAGGAAAGAAAAGTTATCTTCGAAGTTCCAACGGTTTCCACTGTAGCGAATGTCCCTTATAATAAAGATAAGGAGGCACAAATAACTATGCTGGCGAGAGGGCTCACAAACAGCCACGGTCCGTGGTGACAAATACTACGTTCGGTGCCATCATTGTGGAAGTACTACAAGTACACATTAATCTCTCATATCCAACGGCTTATGTCTTGTGATATCATCCCAACTGTGATGATGACCAATGTCGAGTGCCACTTTGATAGACAGTGGGCAATGTTGAGTGCCACTTTGTTGAGGTGTATATGCATCAGAGGAAAACAGTGATTCTAAAATTTAGCCACAATGTGTTCGAAAGAGAAAGGAGGGACCAAACAATATATGCACCAACGTTTGGTTCATCATGGATAATTATAAAATGGGATATAATCACGAACGGGTAAACTGATTTTTTTTTATTAAGAAGAATTTTAACTATTTACCTCTCACCCATTTTGACCTAAATTTTGCAAGAAAGTAGTCGGATTATTGTGAAGCAAATTATCACCTCCATGTTTTATGTCCCTGTTGGGATGACCAAAGTATTTCTCCTCCATGTAAAAAATAATGTAAATATATGTAATTAGCAAAGACTTAAACATAATTTTCCAAATTAGATCTCTTAGCTCATTTGCTAGGAATAGGGTTCGCTTGATTTAAAAAACATGATTTACCAATCAACCCTTAGTCAGCTTTGATATCCACCAGGTAATTGCAGGATGCCATTGTGAAGATATCATAATGTAGGTGAGCGGATGCTGGCTTATGTGAAATTCTATTATTTATGTCACTTCGGAGATAATGAATAACTTGTCATCATTCTGGCAAAACAAGTTAAAGCGGCACTGTCATGCCGAATTCTGTTTTTTTTTTAACCCCCCTCCCGCCTCCACTACATCCAATTGACGCACTAGTCACCCCCAAATGCCCCTAAGCCCCCCACATTACCTATTTTTTAATCCTTATTTTCTGCCCCGATCTTGATTCAGGGCGCCGCCATCTTTGTGTGGGTAGGTGAAGTCCCTGTGGGACACGTCATCAGCCCACACTAGGCAGACACTGAGATTCCCGCACATGCCCAGTGAAACACCTGGACATGCGAACGGGAATTTCATCTATTCATTCATTCATCAGACAGACGAATGAGTGAATAGAAATATCAGCCGAACAAACAAACACAATGTATCAGTGTTAGTTTGTTCGTGCAGTTTATTACAAGGAGGGAGCTACCGGCGTGCAGCTCCCTCCTTGTAATATGTAACGATAGAAGCGGCAGGGAGCAGTGCTCCCCACCACTTCATAAGCCCCCCAGGCCCCCCTCACTCTATGGGGGTCAATATGAACCCCATAATAGCACAAGGGAGATAAAAATCTCCCAAATGCCCCTACTCGCTATACCGCGAGTAGGGGCATGTCCACTAAACAGTGAGCAGCCTGTGGCTGCTCACTGTAAAAAAACAACAACAAAAAAACAACTATTGGCCCCCACCCCTAAACAGTGAGAATGAGGGGGGGGGCAGTACTCCCCCCACCCCTGGGCGGCGGGTGGGGGCCATAATGAGAATGGGATGGGACCTACTGCCCCCCCCCGGCCCCCACCCCTGGGCGGCGGGTGGGGGCCATAGTGAGAATGGGGGGGGACCTACTCCCCCCCCGGCCCCCACCCCTGGGCGGGTGGGGGCCATAATGAGAATGGGGGGGGGGGACCTACTGTCCTACCCCCCGCCCCCACCCCTGGGCGGCGGGTGGGGGCCATAGTGAGAATGAGGGGGGGACCTACTGCCCCCCCCGGCCCCCACCCCTGGGCGGCGGGTGGGGGCCATAATGAGAATGGGGGGGACCTACTGCCCCCCCGCCCCCACCCCTGGGCGGCGGGTGGGGGCCATAATGAGAATGGGGGGGGACCTACTGCCCCCCCCGGCCCCCACCCCTAGGCGGAGGGTGGGGGCCATGAAGATAATGAGGGGGGGGGACCTACTGTCCTCCCCCCCCCGGCCCCCACCCCTGGGCGGAGGGTGGGGGCCCTAAGTCAATTACCCCCCCCCAAGGTGACTAGGGGTCCCCAAGCCCCTAGTCACCCACCCCCCACCCAAAAAAAACAAGTCCCTACCTACCCCCCTCACCCTAAAAAATAGTGAGGGGGGGATAAAATAACTAACCTGTAAAATAAAATTAAACTTACCATTCGACGTCTTCTTTTTTCTCAAATCTTCTTTTTCAGCCCCAAAAAAGGCCAAATAAAAAACCATCATAACCGTCGAATTGAAAATAAAATAAAAATCCCGAGCGCAAAAAAAAAAACCCGACGGAAAAAAAAAAACCCGAGCGCAAAAAAATAATCCATCTTCACCCATGGAGGGCTCCGCGCAGACTGAGCTCCGCAGAGCGGGGGAAGGCTTATAAAGCCTTGCCCCGCCCTGCAATTAGGCTAAGAACACTCTGATTGGTGGGTTTAAGCCAATCAGAGTGTTCTTTGTCAGTATAGCGAGTAGGGGCATATTACTTACTAATACTAAGTAATTGTTACTTGGTATTAGTAAAGTTGGCTGAAAGACCAATTTAGGTCTTTCAGCCTTTCAGTAGATAGCTCCCTGATACCGTGGGAATTAGGGAGTTATCTACTAAGCGGCTGCAAGATGGAGCCACAGCAAGAATAGGATCAGAGTTTCATTCATTCGAATGAAATTCTGATCCGAATAAAGTGCCGAATTGCGTTCTAAAAGAAACGAACAGACTGTTGTCATTCAGTTAGAACGCAATTCGGCAGTTTTGTGTAAAATGACAGGAAGCATTGTGGGAACATTGAGGAAAGCTAGGGATCATGGGAAAATTGCTCTGACCAGCGGAAATGAAGCACACTTTGCTCCTCCGCTGGTCAGAGCTGGTCAAGCGGGGGGATCCTCCATAAGGCAAAGAGTCCCTACTTTGTGTTATGATTTTAAAGAAAACTAAAGAAGACAGGAAGAAAAGAATAACAGATCCTGAGAGAGGGGGAGAAGAGGAAGAGATTGAGGAAAGGTAAGTTCGGCATGACAGTGCCGCTTTAATATTATTTTATAATAAATTGTTCCCATTTTTCATTCACCTACTGTATCCTGTATAAGTGTATTCAAAGGGAGGGGCAGTGTCATCCCACAATTTGACACTAGGCAAAAATACTTAGAGCCGGTTACCAAGGGCTCTAAATAAGGTGAGTGTTTCTATTTTTACTTATATGGATATCACTTCCATTTTGAGATGCTACACTTAGTATAAAATATCTGTGTCTCTTATATATTCGGTGGAGAATATTCATATCTTCCTCAGGAGAGAGGGGTTGTGTGATCTACCCAAAAAGACACAGACGCGCAGAAGTTTAGAGCCTAATACTAGAAAAGGCTCTAACAAATGTGAGTGTATATATTCACTTATTTCACCGATCTCTCCATTTAAATTCATATTACACTATTATCTGTATATGTTCTTTCTGTTCTTCTTTTTTATGTACCAATTGTATCAAGAGAAACGATAAAGGGTAAGAGTTCCAAGATCCAGTGAACGCACTTACCTAGCACTAATATAGCGCTGCACTCACTTAAGGAACTTTAGATTTGGATGGTGGCAACATCATCCAAATCAAAAGTTTTTCTGTGTTTTGGTGAGAACTAGTTAATGTCAGAAACGTGGTGAATTGTTGTATGCTGGACTTACGATCAATGTATTTAAACAAGGGTTATAAGAGCTAAACCACAGAACTCTCTACTTGGATTGCTAAAAGTATACACCCCAACTGTCCAGTATCTGGGGAAACAGTCCTGTTTCACTTTCTTAGGCTTTCCTATTATGTGCCCAGTGTGGACACATAGAGTGCTACAACAGGCCTCTTGTATGTAAATGCAAGGCATTTCCACCTGTACGAAAGTGCTTCAGCAGTGCTTTTTGAGTGAATAGCCCTACTTGGTTTACTGACAGAGCTGGTGTAATCCCTTTCGTTGATGAAGACCACGTAATGGTGAACCATTGCCACATGCATGAACGCAGTTGTTTGGAAATATTGGGATAGCTGAGTTTCATTACTATTTGATGTGACCCCATATGTCAGTGCCCCCACAGTATTAGGAAATATGTTAAAGAGACCGATCCTATATGGGCTATAGTTATATACAATAGCTTTTAACCGTGTTAATGATACTCTTTTTACTCCTTGTTCAATAAGACAGAAATGTAATAATTTATTCACTAAATGTGGAATTAGAACTGACAAAAAAGGGGGTTATAACTTTTAGATAACACATCTCCATCATAGTTATATTTGGATATTTTTAGCTATTTTGGTCTAACATTTTCTGTGGCTAGTTTAGTGAATAAAGCAGTGCGATTTTTACAGCATAATAAGTCAGTCAATCTAGTCTGCCCACAACCAACTATTTCCAGCATCGTAGCATCAAAACCTAGGATGTGGACGAGTCAACGACAAGACTTTAAAGGAGGGGTATCAGGACCGGCACACAGGGTCTGGGGCTGGTATGGATCTTGTCAGTCAGCAAGGAGAGATGCTCCCATTCTTATCAGTTTTCCATGTTTAGTGTTTATATGGCGTAAGGAGGGGGGAAGTACCATTCCTCAATTCTACGTAAACCCAAGAGCTCCCCACTTCTGCATTAGCAATTTTAGGCCAAATATGGATGGTACTGATAGCTTTGTAGCAACAGCTAGTAGTTTAAGCCACTCAATGCATTCCAAAACACCTAGCATTATAACTACTGCAATGGGGTGTCCCTTTACTAATTTAGTTTGAATTATCTATTTTTTATTTCCATCAAATATTATGTCATTTTCTGTTATATATAGTAGAGAATTAATGTATCTATTTTGCAAAGCTTTCAGTGGAATGTATAAAAAAAAAGACCAAATCGTAGAGATTTGAAAACCAAGCTGCAAAATTTAAACTAAAATAGCCTAGCTGTGACTATCACGGAGTTGGTAAATTTTTGAGGTTAGCTATTTTGGCATTCATTTCACAACTCGGCATTCCGTTCACCACAATTCCCTGTTTAGTGAATAAGTCCCAAAATGGTTACTGTCCCTTTAATTTTGGAGTTTGAGAACAACTTGCTTCATCACAAAACCCCATAGATGTCACTGTTAGTTACATTTGAGTTGCTTATTAAATGCCTCCCTGCACGTACAATATAGAGTTTTTGAAAAAGTATCCTTTTTTTTCCTGTTATTTGTCCTCTTTTCAACATTTCTGGTTCAAAGCTGACATTTACTCTGTGTAATTACCACTTCGTCCGAGCGTTAGCTTTTTAATGAAGTGCTGTGCCGATCTATAAACTCATTTGCGCCAACGTGAAAACAGCACGCGCGTATTCCGGTCACATGTTTATCGGCAAAGGGACATTCTCTTTAATTAATATCACTGTAATTAGTATTGATTTTAAGCAGTCATATGATAAATTAAATTCAGTTTTCACCAATGCGCCCTAAGGCCAGGAAAAAGCGTGTTCTATATATATCTGTATTTGGCTATCGGTCTCTTCTTCTAGAACAATATTTTCCACCACTTTAGCTGAACAAGTCGTTTACAATAAATCTTTTATGTTTTCTTTCTTTCTTTTTTTTAAATTAAGCAATTAAATCAAATCCCAAGAAACAATGAATACCAGATACACAGCACGTTTTAAAAAAATGACCCCATGTACTCTGGTTCATGGGCTGCCAAGACTGTCTCCTTTTAGACACATAGTGATTAATGGAGAAGTGGATTCTGGGTAATGACATATCACCTGCTATTACAAAGTAATTATCAGGAAGACAACTTTGATAGGATCAAAGCCAATACTCCTATAATTTTATTAACTTGAGTTTATTTATCTTGATTATTGATCTCCCAGACATATATCCTGATTTATGATGAAAGTGATGAAAGTGATCAGGGTACATCCAATCGAATCTTTATAACATGAGGTAATGTCAAATTATATCGGTATTACAGTGAGTACGATTACAGCTGGATATGTATTGTACATGGCAGAATTTAATTGTATGGAACATGTTATTTTGAAACATTGTATACTGTATGTATAGCTATTAAGAAAAACAGGCCATCGGGGAGTAATTTGGGGAGACTAGGGTTACATTGCAGGTTACGTTGCCTAATTTCCATAAATGTCTAGGTAGGCTTTGGTAAACACTGGTGATTTAGTGAGATTTGATATTCAACAGCAAAAGAAAGCACCAGGATCGTCATACATGCCCTACACCACGGGTAAGATGTTGTACACTACAACTCCCCTGATACTTTGCCACCTTTATAGCTGTAAGAGTTTTATATGAGAGTAGTCCACAAAATCTGGTGTGCCAAAGTTGTCTACCCTTGCCTTACACCAATGGTAGGCAACCTTCAACACTTCAGATATTGTGGACTTCATCTACCATAATGTTCTTAGACCATTATGCTGGCAAAGCATCAGGGGTGATATAGCCCACAACATCTGGGTGCATAGCCCTGCCTTACATGATCAGGGTCCTAGAGAGTTTTTCTGCAGGGAACTCCATATAGACATTGGCTTCTCTCCTTTCTGTGATGTGAGCACCATATTCTATCTAATCATATCCCATATAAAATGGGTCCCACATAGATTCAGTCATGGACCTAGAAGTCCTACAGGGGGTTCACTAAAGTGTGAATGGTTGGCAATTTAAAGTGAATTTCAAATTATAGGGAACAGAAGTCAAATTGCAAAGGTTCCCTAATATAGCTCTCTAATCAATTCTACTATTTTGGGATAAATTCTGTCACTCTGATTTCCCAACAAATTCTCACTATTTACTAAAATGACAATTGTCAGGAATGTAAAGTGAAATGTAATATTTATGGCCAAAATAACAAAACTCAAAGTCAGCTATGCTCCCGGTTCGGATACTGTGGCCTCAAATGTGAAATTTACTTTGTGTTAACTTTGAATTCCCGTCAGTTCTTATTTTACTAATAACTCTCTACGTGTGTTAGCAGTGTCTCCACGAGAATTCGATGAGACTGGTTTACTACAGCAATCTGGCCTCTAATTGGAAAATTAAACAATGCTTCCAGTTGCTAAATTCCAATAGTCTTTGATTTATTGGATTGTAAACAAAAGGTGAGTGTTGTAAACAAAAGGTAACATGTAATATCAAGCCTTGGAAAATAAGCTTGAAAATGAACCGTGTGTGGACAAAAAATGCAATAATGATTGCTCTTATTTGTCGTGTTTGTGTTTTGAATGCAAACATAATATCAAACATAATTGTACAACTAAGGAAACCAGTTACTAAACATTATAATAAAAAAAATATACAAAATAGCATGTGCTGAAGTAGATCAACTTTGTGAATTTTTGTGAAGTTACAAACAGTAAAATAACTTCTTATTTGATTAATAATTAGTCATTCGTAACTTAGTAATGATGTGATTTCTGTTTTTTAATTAATCAGTATTAGTGATGTCCCGAACTGTTCGCCGAACGGTTCGCGAACGGTTCGCCAGGAAGTGTTCGCCACGAACTGTTCGCCACGGACTCATCATTGAGTAAACTTTGACCCTGTACCTCACAGTCAGCAGACACATTCCAGCCAATCAGCAGCAGACCCTCCCTCCCAGACTCTCCCACCTCCTGGACAGCTCACTAAGAATGCAGCTTCACAATGGATGCTGTCCAGGAGGTGAGAGGGTCTGGGAGGGAGGGTCTGCTGCTGATTTGCTGGTTTGGCAAACAGTTCGGGACATCACTAATCAGTATATTTCCATTTGTACTGCATTGTAGAATAGATACGTACTAGTGCCATTCACTGGAGTTTCAGAAAGAAATGGTACATGCTTATAATTATTATTATTATTATTATTATTATTATTATTATTATGTTTTAGGCAGTCAAACTGTATTTTATTTTAGTAATGTTTTGATATTTTAGATCCAATAATGAGTTTTTGACAAGATGCACATATAAAACAAACAAAAAGTTTATACAAAGCAAAGGACAGTGCGAAGAGTGGTAATAGCTCTTGATCCAAGGAGACATCTGACTGCTATTTTGGGGTCAAGAAGGAATTTTTTCCTAGCTTGTTGCAAAATTGGAAGTGCTTCAGACTAGGTTTTTTCCTTCTTTTGGATCAACAGCAAAAACATATGTGAGGAAGGCTGAACTTGATGGACGCAAGTCTCTTTTCAGCTATGGAACTGTGAGTGAAACTAGTTCATATCACTTTGGTTGTACTATTTCAAGTCTCTTCCGTTCATCCCAGCCTTATCCACTTTTAGTTTGCATATGTATGTATTTTATACAAGTCCATTATTGGGAATAAAAGCACTTGTGTTACTAAAATTAATGTTACTGTTTAAACGGCCAAACACAAAAAGAATTCAGCGCTAGTAATCACAAAATTAGTCAAGGTAGGCAGCAACCCAAATGAAGGAAAACCCCTCGGGTCCTTCGGTGGATAGATATAAAAAGATATGAAAGGGCTGCGCCAAATAAGGGTAGATAGTCCAGTAAAGTATTGCTAGGCTGCCAATAGATGGTCTAGGATACTTGATAGAGTTCCTCTGTGGATGCGTCTGGTGTAGACCGTTCCGTATATGTAAATACAAGAGAGGTAGAGGCGACTAATGGTATAGTATGAAAGTTCAGGGTGTGATAGGTAACAAAAAGTAAAGAACTCACATTCAGGAGAGCTATGGCCAGCTCTGGTGTGGATTGCGTACAGCGGTATAATCCCCGCTTATGGGATATGTAGGGAGGGGTCTCCGTCAGCACCGTCTGGTAGTCCAGAGCTCGAAAAAGAAAGACAGAAAGCAACAATAGTGCTCTCAATTTTGATGTGGTTCAATGTGCAGATAAGAAGAGGTAAAAAACTCACATTTGAGGGAGCTATGGCCAGCTCTGGTGTGGATAGCGTACAGCGGTATAATCCCCGCTTATAGGATATGTAGCGGCGATACGTCCGTCAGCACCGTCTTAATAACCATAAACGCGTTTCACCATAAGTGGCTTCTTCAGAATGGGATAAGAAGCCACTTATGGTGAAACGCGTTTATGGTTATTAATTCTGTATTTTACTGTGTATTTTAGATCAATAAAAGTTTTTTGGCTACTTTATTGTACCAATCCTCTTTTTATTGCACTCTTTATGCACTTTAAACAACTTTTGTTTTTACCTATTCCTGGCATTTTAACCTTTCCTGGTTACTTTTACTTCCATTGGCAATTTTAAAGTTCCAGTACTCCAAGAAATCCTAGGTGGGGATCATACCACCGGCGCCTATCCATAGAGCAGTACCTCTGCTCTATCTTTGTGAGTATTATTTTATTTTCTCTACTACTCTCTTAACCTATCACAATTGAGAGCACTATTGCTGCTTTTTATTCTTCTATATTGGAGCCTTGGATCACCAGACGGTGCTGACGGACGTATCGCCGCTACATATCCTATAAGCGGGGATTATACCGCTGTACGCTATCCACACCAGAGCTGGCCATAGCTCCCTCAAATGTGAGTTTTTTACCTCTTCTTATCTGCACATTGAACCACATCAAAATTGAGAGCACTATTGTTGCTTTCTGTCTTTCTTTTTCGAGCTCTGGACTACCAGACGGTGCTGACGGAGACCCCTCCCTACATATCCCATAAGCGGGGATTATACCGCTGTACGCAATCCACACCAGAGCTGGCCATAGCTCTCCTGAATGTGAGTTCTTTACTTTTTGTTACCTATCACACCCTGAACTTTCATACTATACCATTAGTCGCCTCTACCTCTCTTGTATTTACATATACGGAACGGTCTACACCAGACGCATCCACAGAGGAACTCTATCAAGTATCCTAGACCATATTTTGGCAGCCTAGCAATACTTTACTGGACTATCTACCCTTATTTGGCGCAGCCCTTTCATATCTTTTTATGTTTAAACGGACAGTCTGAGCACCACAATCGTCACAACATGCTGTAGTGATTATGGTGCTAAAATTCCTCTAGTGATTTCCCATGGTAATCAAACTGTTTCCATGTTACTAACCATTTTCACTGAGTGGCACCTCTTTTTACTGAAACTCTCAGCCAAAGAATTCAAAGTTGCACAAAATTGTTATTGTGAATGGCAAAGTATAACTGTTCCCTTTAACCGTGGACACCTGATAGAGAGAGGTAAATGTCAAACAGTACGTAAAAAAGGTCTGGGGCCATCATAACTTTATAGCTCTGTAATGGTTATGGAGCTTAGAACATCCCTTTAAAAAAAAAATAATAATATTAACATAATATTAACATAATAAAACCTTAAATTTATGTTAAAAAGTACTTCCCACCTTCCTTTTATTGCACGGTGTGACATGACATATTGAAAAATTATGGTTAATGTTTAGACCCAACAAATAGGTGCAGTAAGCTTTATCTAGCTCTATACATTGCTTTCATTTTGGGAAATCATGGTAAATTGTCAAGGGGGTTTGTTATTGCTTTTAGCTAAAATGTTTTGTATCTAAATCGAGTGTTTTGTATAACTAATTTCATCTTTTTTTTTATCATTTAATTCTCAGTTTCCGCAGCTAAAGTTATTAAAATACACTGCTCCGATTGCGTTTCCCATTTAATGTGTTTCTCTTCCTATGTTAGTGATAAATCACTGTGGATAGATGGCGTTCTGTACCTCTTTAGAGATCTGAAGGCAATATATACAGTAAATATACCTAGAATGCATTGTAACACTGCCCTCGCACGTCCCATGGGGTTTTCATACACGTATCTCTCTCTTTTTAATTCAAAGGTTCCGCTAGGCTAGTTTTTCTTCCATTCCCATGCTGGGGGAAACTGCGTGGCACCTTTGATGGGTTTTAACAATTGCACATGGTTACATCGTAATTAAAAGCGATCTTTGAGCATGTTTCCAATAAACAGCAAGCCTTGTTACAGCTCAAAAAATGATCCATCTGTTCAAACCAGCGGCTCCGATGGGGGATAAATTCAGCAGTTTGCACACAAGGTGCCATAGCTATTTATAGACGAGGTGTGAAGAGTCACTGAGTGAAATGTTAAGCACCCCCACAAGCTGTCGCGGTATGTAGGTCCTTATAATGTTACTACAACCAGTCATTTTCATGTCTCTCTAAAGTAATCATTGCATAAATGAGGCCATCAACGAGTGCTGTGGAAGCCATGTTACTTTATGGCAAGACATCGAGCAATGATTCGTAATGAACATTACCTGCCAAGGAAAACGGTACCTCGCAGAACAGAAGCCATCTCACTCACACAGGAAAACATTACTAAGCTGCCACAACGTATAACTTACTGACCTGGGAATTGGGGAGAAATTCAAATTTCAGGACATAATGGCCAATCTGGATTTTTGCAATTCAGTCAGCTATTTTAGATTAGAATTTTACAATTAGCCAAAATGTCTGGTTTATTGAACAAATCTCCTGTTTTCTATGAGCCATGTAGTGTATAATATATATATTTCCCTATAATAAATGGCCGCCGTCCCAACAGCATCTTCTAAGCTCTTATGGTGCCCATATATTTTAACTAAAGGGCTCTGTACCCTTCTTCCCATTTAGTGGATTAAGGGAAGAGACCTGCTTCTTGGAGTGTCCCAGAGGAACTCTTGTTTATTTTATGAATTTATTTTAAAGTTTATAACATACCCTTCCACCAAAAAAAAAGAGTACTCCAGAAACATACAATCTTTATGAAATACTCACATCGACCATGCTATAATTTCACTGAAATTTAAACACAGTCAAAAGATATACTGAGACAAAGTAACAACTACTTTGTATTATGTATTTTTCCTACACTCGACAAAGCTTCACATAAAGGCAGAGTTACCATTGTCAAGCCACCGGCTGTGGGGAAAAAGGCATTGTCTGGATCCACGATAGACATCAGTGTTGTATCGCACAATCACAACACCCGAGCACTGACGTGAGCTCCTGGCAGATGAAGCACCAGGAGTTGAGGAGGTGAAGAGCATGGAAGATGATACTAGTGGCCTACCTTTTACTACATCCGCAGGCCATGGCACGCCAAGCGAGAATGCCACAATCGGTGGTCTATGCAAAACATGCAAAGACCCCAGAAGATGAATGAGCATTGTAATGAAGAGAGCTTGACTCACTTTCCATGTTAAGAGTGTACTTCACCTTGCCAGACCTTACGCCTGGTTTCACTAGGTGCAACATTTACGCCAGCACAAGGGAATTTATTACTGACACGGTAGCTTTAATTTTGCAATATGGCTTCTAACTCACCTTAATTAGCTGTTTTGTGAAAAAAAAGCAATTTGTCAAAAAGTTGATAAATTGCTTTTGTTGGCGTTGTTCATGTGTTCATTCACCATCATAAAACAATAACAAAACTCATTAAAGGATGAAGAAAACCCATTTTGTGCAGTAGCGGATTGAGTAAATCCACCTGCTCCAATGTGTAAGATGAGAAAGGCTGCTGCACTGAGCTAAGCACTCTAATGTTAAGACATCCGCAGCTCATGTTACCAACACAGAAAGCATCCCAGAAAGAGGGACAGGGTCACATTCTGGACAAATCACTACATGTGACCTTTAACTAACACTTTCCTATTTAGATGGAAATAGAAACACAAAAGTGTAGAGTCATTAACTAATATTTATTGCAAGGAATGCGTAACTGTGAGAGAGGGGGACTTGCACTCCATGTAATTATGACTTCAAAACATATGAGTAAACATATATGGCAG